TTTTTGGTTTTTTTTTTTCTTTTTTTGATACAGAGTCTTGCTCTGTCACCAGGTTGGAGCACAGTGGCACAGTCTCGGCTCACTGCAACCTCCACCTCCCGGGTTCAAGCGATTCTTCCGCCTCAGCCTCCCCAGTAGTTGGGACTACAGGTGCATGCCAAACACCCGGCTAATTTTTGTATTTTTAGTAGAGACGGGGGTTCACCATGTTGGCCAGGATGGTCTCGATCTCTTGACCTCGTGATCTACCCGCCTCGGCCTCCCAAAGCGCTGGGATGTTTCTGTTGCTTTTAAGCCAAAAAGTTTGAGGTCATTTGTTACAGTAGCTACAGGAGGTTACCACAGGTTGGGCATCCCAAATCTGAAATCTAAAACATTCCCAAATCTAAAATTTTTGAGTGCTACCATGTTCAAATACAAAGCTCCTTGGAGCATTTCAGATGTCAGATTTTTGGACGTAGGATGCTCAGTTGGTAAGCATATAATGCAAATATTCCAAAATCCAGCACATTTCTGGTTCCAAGCATGTTGGATAAGGGATTCTTGACCTGCACCCCATCCCTCCAGGACCAAAAGTCCCAAACAGGTCCATCCCTTTCTGTGTCTCCTCCCCCGCACCCCACTCCTGGCACCCCCACTCTCCCAGCATTTTCTCTAAGTGGAAGCACTTTCCCCCAATATGAGTGACACGGAAGCCAACTGAAATACCACTTTAGAAATGCCACCCTTCACTCTGATCACTCCCCCTGTGCTCTGAATTTAATAGGAAGGCCAGGCATGGTGGCTCAAACCTGTAATCCCAGCACTTTGGGAGGCCGAGGTGGGTGGATCATCTGAGGTCAGGAGTTCGAGACCAGCAGCAACATGGAGAAACCCCATGTCTACCAAAAATAGAAAAATTAGCTGGGCCTGGTGGCAGGCACCTGTAATCTCAGCTACTCGGGAGGCTGAGGCATGAGAATCGCTTGAACCCGAGAGGCGGAGGTTGCAGTGAGCTGAGATCATGTCACTGCACTCCAGCCTGGGCAACAAGAGTGAAACTCTGTCTCAAAAAAGCAAACAAACAAACAAAAGACAAGAAAACACACAGAAAGTAAGTAATAGGAAAAGGCACCCATTTCCAGGAGTCCTGACCCTTATCCGAGGTGGTGAGGTTGTCACTTCTGGGGCGGGAGGGGAGTTTCACGCATATCCAGCCAGAGCAGCTGGAACTTTCACAAGCCCCAGGGTGCTGGCCCTCAGGGAGGGGAGAGTGGCTTATTATTTTGGTAGGACCCACAGCAAGCCACAGTGTTTAGCTGCAATCAAAAAGGGGAAAAGGGGGGCAGTGGGGTTCCTGGGTTTTTTCTTTTTTTCCATCTTGAAACTGGCACATTTCTGATATGATTGGGGGAATTTCCACCAACCAAATTAAAGACAAGTGAGTCTTAGCATTAACTGTAGGGAAAGAGGTGGCGTTTTGCAACCTTCACTATTTATGAAACACTGTCACCGGTACCAAGGTGACAATATTTTCCTCCCTCTCAAACAAGCCAGGCTCTGCCATCCTCCAGTGGGCAGGGCCCTGCCTCGTCTCATCCACCCTGGGGCACTGCTTCTAGACCATCTTCTCTAACAGCTTTGCTGGGAAACATGCGTGTCCCCTGGGGAGTAGCTGAAGCCACCCTCCTGAATGAAGGAGCTTTATTTTCTTCTTCTTTTTTTTTTTTTTTTTTTTTTTTGAGATGGAGCCTCACTCTGTTGCCCAGGCTGGCGTGCAGTGGTGCAATCTCAGCTCACTGCAACCTCTATCTTCTGGGTTCAAGCGATTCTCCTGCCTCTGCCTCCTGAGTAGCTGGGATTACAGGTGGTCACCACCACACCCAGCTAATTTTTATTTATTTAATTTATTTATTTTAGCAGAAACAGGGTTTCTCCATGTTCACTAGGATGGTCTTGAACTCCTCCTAACCTCAAGCGATCTGCCTGCCTCGGCCTCCCAAAGTGCTGGGATTACAGGCGTGAGCCACCGCGCCCAGCCTGAAAGAGATTTCCAAAGGTCCCACGTTAAGGAAACATTTGCTGGGGCCCCAAACCCCACCAGCTGGGCCACACCGGCAGCTGGCCTCCGGGCTGGAGCGAACTGCTCTTTACACAGAAATGGTTTTGAAAATAAGAAAAGCCGAGGGGGAATTGCTTCATCCGTTGCACTTTCACTTCTCCCTTTCACTGTGCAATTGAAGAAAAACAAGGTCAAGCAGGAACTGACCTCTCACCATTCCCACTCCCACCCACGAATTTCCTCAGACACACTTGTGTGAAAACGAACTGGCTATGGTGGCTGGCCTCCAGCTATTGGTGGCTTGCCGGTCCTGTAATCACCCCAAGGGCCAATGCCCTCCCAGTCTGCCTGCCTGGTCCTTAGCATAGCCCCTGGCCCCCCGTGGCATCTCAGGAAACACTTGCTAAACTCAGTACAAGAGAAGAAACCGAGCCCACAGCTTAGTGAAAAGAACTGGCGGCGTGGACTGAGACTGCAGAAACAGAAACGCAGCTTGTCCTGCTAGACGGGGACATCTGCATGGTCAGGAGTACCTCTGGGGCACATGCCCTATCTAGAAACATCTAAGTGAGCAGTGTGGCCTGTTTCTGAACATGGGCTGAGGGGTAGGGGAAGTGGGGCTCAGAAGGAGGCTAGCTTAGTTGTCTCTAGAGCAGGCAACTGGGTTGCTGTGTGTTAGATTTTTCAGAGGTAGGCTCCCGCTCTGTCACCCAGGCTGGGGCGCAGTGGCACTATCATAGCTCACTGCAGCTCCTGGTTTCAAGTGATCCTCCTGTCTGGGCCTCCCAAAGCACTGGGATGAAAGGTCTGAGCAACCGCTCTCAGCCACAGTTGGGTTTAAGAGCACTCCTCCAGCACACCAGAGTGTCTTCCATCACTCTGTGAAAGTACCCAAAGAGGACCAAGCCCAGGACGCCTTGGGCGTCTGGCAGGCCTCGTCTTGGCAGGCCTCTCACCTGCCAAGGTGGCTGGAATCCTAACACCAAGAAATCAAACTCCAGCGGGCCATGGAAATGCTAAGGGGTTGGCATTTCTGCTCTAGAACGAGCCAAAGAAAAAGCTCTATTTATATCTCCTTGCATTTGGTCGCAGCCTCATCAACCGAAAAAACCTTCTTCCCCACTCAACACATCAATCAAATTGGGGAGGGGGTGTGAACGGCAGCAGCGGGTGTTACAGGGGAGTCTCCAGGGGTTTCTTAGAGGCTGCTCTCTGAAAGGTCGTCCGTCCCCCCACACCCCCCCAAAAGAATTACTAGGACATTCTCCTTCCCCCTCGCAAGCAACGGCACCCCCAGATGATTAAATGCGCTGGCGTCGGAAAGCGCTGGGATCTGGTGGAGTTACTTGTAAACTGTGTGGGTTGGTGAGTTATTTAACTTTTCTGAGCCTTCGTTTCCTTACTGCAAAATGAAGACAACGCCACTCAGCTCCTACGGTTGTCCAACTGAAACCGCAAAGGTAAGAACGATCCGTTCTTTGGGGGAGAAACGTCCCTATGGTACCATTCAATTGACAAGAATACCAAGCACTGTCAGGCACCCACTCTTCTGGAAGAGAGCAGGGGGTTAGCCCTCGGTTTCAAAGTTCCTAAGGAGCAGTAAACCTTCCCCTCCGAGAGCTCCGAGAAAGCAAAAAGAGCCCACTCCCACTCCAGCCCACGGCACACCCGCTTCACATCCACGCGCGGCTGTGCCCAGCATCTCAGAGGTGACACTTCTCAGGAGCCCGGAGGAAGAAACCTCCCTTGATGGAGTCTGGTGGGTTTCAAGATCCACAGGTCCTTCCTTCCAGGAAACACCTGCACCAAGTGAAGGCTGCCCGATCAGCCCCGGGCTCCATCCACAAACTGGGTAGACCCTAAGGGTGACACGAGAGGACCCCGCACCTCGGCCGCTCCAGGGCGCCCCCAACCCACGACCCCCGAAATCTCGCCCCTACCTGCTCCACCCTCGTCCCACCCAGAGCGCATTTCGGCGGGATCTCCCAGCGACCCTTACCCGGTTCTCTGGACCCCCGCTTCCCGCCCCACAGCGCCCCATCCTGGTGCCCAAGAAAGGTCATCCTAGTTCCCCTCTTCTTGATCTCAAAGGAGGAGGTGAAGATGAGTAAGTCTAAATAAAAACAGGAAACGAGATTTTTTTTTTGAAAAAGCCTCATTCAGGCTGAATTACGGGTAAGAGTATTAAAAAAAAAAAAGTCCGGAAATGCAAAGCTGAGGGCGGTTTTGCCGGCGTAACCCCTGCTCCGCCGCAGATCCGGGGCTGATCTCGCCGGCAGCAAATGCGGCGAGCTGCGCAGCAGCCCGGGACGGGGAGGCGGGGCGCGGGTCCAGGCGCCGGGAGGGAGCCCCAGAAACTTCCACCCCGGCCCTGCTCCAGCCGCTCTCCTCCTTTGCCCAGGCTGGGAAGGGCACAGAGGACCCCGGCGCCGGCGAGCTGTGCGCGGCCCTCTCTCCGCGCCAGGGCACTCGGACGACACCGCCAGTGGGAGCGCAGCCGGGACCCCGTCAGTGGGAGCGTAGGAGGCCCCTGGTCCTCTCGCCAGCGCTCGGACGGGCGCTCGCGGTGAGCGCCTCCAGTCTCCTGGAGCCTCGGCCGGCGCACCGGAGGCCGCACCGCCGCTGGGAACGCAGCCGGGACCCCGCCACCGGGCCGCGCGGACCAGGCGCGCAGTGCAGGCACCGGGGAGCTGCGCGCGCCCCTCTCGGCGGGCCCACGGGGGACAGCCCCGGGCCTCCAGGGCAGCCCCCGCTCAGGTCCCAGAGGCCCGGACTCCGGGGCGCCCAGGGTCCGGCTCGCTAGACGCGGGGGGGCGCCCAGGGCCAGGGCGCACGGGCTGTGTGTGCCGGAGAAACGCCCGCCAGCCCGCCCCGCGGCGCAGAGCGCAGCCCTGGCTCCCGAAGCCCCTGGCCCCGGTCCTCTTCCCACTTCCCTGACGCAGCCAGCGGCGTCGCTTACCCGTCCCGGCGCAGCTGACTGGGCTGGGCGGCTCGGCTCGCGGCCGCTCGGAGCGAAGGCGCTGGGCGCGAGTGAGCCTCGAGGGAGGGAGGCGGGGCGCGGCGGGGCGGCCCCTCCTGCAGCCAGCCAGCACCCTGCACTTCCCACTTTGTTTCCTTTTCTCTTGTAACAGGAAAACAACAGGTCCCCCAGCGCCTGCCTTCCACCCTCCGCCCACACCCCCAGCTCGCCTGCTGCTGGAGGGGCCTCATCCCAGGTGCCTTTGGAAGCTGCACCTTGCCCGGCTTCAAAACAAGTGTTCTTTTTATGCAAAGGAAAACAACCAAATAAAGGTCCTAAGCGCTCCACCTTCACGCAGCAAAGAATTTCAACAGCAGCGAGGGAAAGGCCGAGAGCGGGCGAGGGAGAGGGAGTAACTGCAGCTCTAGGCACCCAGGGGCCCCAAGCGCCACTGCGAGGTGTATGGCTGTGGGAGACCAGCATATGCCACCCCAAAATATACTTCTTCGGCATTTTTTGAGGGGATTATTCTTAGAAACTGCAGGCACAGGAGTAGCTCTGAAAAGCTGTCTTTTTGTAAAATGATTTTTATCTGCAAAGAAAATCTCCAGGCCTGGCGCTGTGGCTCACTCCTGCAACCCCAGCGCTTTGGGAGGCCGAGGTGGAAGGATCGCTTGAGCCCAGAAATTCGGGCCAGCCTGAGCAGCATAGGGAGACCCTGTCTCTACAAAAAAAATTTTTAATTAGCCGGTCGTGGTGGTGCACACATGTAGTCCCAACTAATCAGTAGGCCGAGGTGGGAAGATAGCTTAAGTCGGGGAGATGGAGGCTGCAGTGATCCATGATCGCACCACTGCACTCCAGCCTGGGAAGTAAAGTGAGACCCTGTCTCAAAAGCAGAAAAGAAAAGGGAAATCCCCATTGGTAAAGTATTAGCATCAGGCCGAACGCTGCTCAGAGCTAACTTTTCTTAGCTGAGAAATTTTCCATGCATAAGAAGACAAGCAAGCTTCATTCACCATACTCTGTCCCACCTCACTCTCCCTTAACTTCTGTATCACCTCCCCAGGAGCCCAAGCCTCTATTCCTTTTTTTCTTTTCTTTTTTTTTTCAAGACAGAGCTTGCTCTGTTGTCCAGGCCGGAGTGCAGTGGCCCGATCTCGGCTCACTGCAACTCCCTGTCCCAGGTTCAAGAAATTCTTCTGCCTCCGCCTCCCAAGTAGCTGGGATTACAGGTACACACACCACACGCAGGTGATTTTTTTTTTGAGAGGGAGGCTGGCTCTGTCGCTCAGGCTGGAGTGCAGTGGTGCGATCTTGGTTTACTGCAACCTCTGCCTCCGGGTTGTCCCGCCTCAGCCTCTTGAGTAGCCAGGATTACAGGCACTCGCCACCAATCCCGTCTAATTTTTTTCCCCTGCCCTCCAAAAAAAGAAAGAGAAAGAAAGAGAGGCCCAGAGGCCATTACTCCAGCCAGGAAAGGGGAGAGGGCTTGGGTAAGATGGAGTGGCTTGTTAAATGGTCCCAGGATTTATTTTTTGTTTTGTTTTTTTGTTTTTTGAGACAGGGTCTCACTCTGTCACGCAGGCTGGAGTGCAGTAGCACAATCTCAGCTCACTGCAACCTCTGCCTGGCCAGGCATGGTGGCTCACGTCTGTAATCCCTTGGCCTCCTTTGGGAGGCCAAGACGAGTGGGTCACCTGAGGTCAGGAGTTTGAGACCAGCATGGCAAAACCCCGTCTCTACTAAAAATACAAAAATTAACTAGGCATGGTGGCATGAACCTGCAGTCCAAGCTACTTGGAAGGGTAAGGCCCGTACCCGGCCTGGTCCCAGTTTTCTAAGGTCCAGGCTGCAGGTTCTGTATCCTGAGGTGGACACTTGCAGAGGAGCCAGGAGGGACTACAGGTCCCTTTTGGAAGGAACGTTGGGCTGACTCCAGGAATGCACCCGAACACCCTTCATAGTGGAGCGTCTGAGGCTTGCAGCCTCACGCCTACCCCAGGCTCAGATCACTGGGCCTTAGCCGGGGTCTCTAGCCCACTTCAAGGATGCCAAGAGCCAGAAGAACAATGGGCATTTCAGAAGGAACTCTGACGGCCAAGTGAGCAGCCTGTCCCGAGGTTTCCTAAAACCTGGTCCTGTCCATGCTTTTGCTAGGCTGCACCTTCAACACTGCCCTCTGGTCTTCAGAGTTCATTGCAAGAAACAGCCACGTAAGGAATGCTTTCGCATCCTCCAAGGGAACTCTTCATTGAATATGTATGTGCTGACAGCAGTTCAAGTCATGCTTTTTACTATGCGAGACGCTGCCAGGAGAATGGTGCCGTGCCAAATTGCCAAGCGCTAAGATGGGCTATATTGTTCCCTTTGATCCCCGTGAAGGAAACCAGAATATGTCCCCCCAAAATATACCTCTTTGACATAAATTTTTTTTTTTTTTTTTGAGACAGAGTTTCACTCTTGTTACCCAGGCTGGAGTGCAATGGCACGATCTCGGCTCACCGCAACCTCCGCCTCCTGGGTTCAGGCAATTCTTCTGCCTCAGCCTCCTGAGGAGCTGGGATTACAGGCACGCGCCACCATGCCCAGCTGATTTTTTTGTATTTTTAGTAGAGACGGGGTTTCACCGTGCTGACCAGGATGGTCTCGATCTCTTGACCTCGTGATCCACCCGCCTCGGCCTCCCAAAGTGCTGGGATTACAGGCTTGAGCCACCGCGCCCGGCCTGACATAAATATTTTTTAGCTGAAGGCAATTAAGAAGCAGCAAGCAGATGAAGAGACCTTTCTATCCTCTGCCCCTTTCTGCCTGATAAATAAAATTCGCAGGAGGCCATTGATTTGGACAAGTACCCTGTACTGGGTCCAACAGACCAAACCAATATGGAGTCATTCATGCTAAATGAAGCTAATTAACTTAAGAGTATATCACGTAGCAAATAGGTGAGTTTTGGTCAGTTACAGCAGCTGAGCTTTAATAGATCTTAGGTGGCCAACTGATTCAAACAAGGCAAACACCGTAACCAATTAAGCTCTGTACCTTACTTCTGTTTCATCCATAAACACTATGTTACTGGCTGAAGTCCTTTAAACCTGTCCTGGTTCTGAGGGACTCCCAATGTTAGACCCATTAATAGGCCAGGCAGCAGTGGCTCACGCCTGGTATTCCAACACTTTGGGAGGCTGAGGTTAGAGGATCAAGACCAGTCTGAGCAACATAGTGAGATCTCATCTTTACAAAGAAATACAAAATTAGGCTGGGCGCGGTGGCTCACACCTGTAATCCCAGCACTTTGGGAGGCCGAGGCGGGTGGATCACGAGGTCAAGAGATCGAGACCATCCTGGTCAACATGGTGAAACCCTGTCTCTACTAAAACTACAAAAAATCAGCTGGGCATGGTGGCGCGTGCCTGTAGTCCCAGCTACTCAGGAGGCTGAGGCAGGAGAATTGCCTGAACCCAGGAGGCGGAGGTTGCGGTGAGCCGAGATCGCGCCATTGCACTCCAGCCTGGGTAACATGAGTGAAACTCCCTCTCAAAAAAAAAAAAAAAAAAAAAAGAAATAAAAAATAAGCCAGGCATGGTGGCATGTGCCTGTAGTTTTAGCTACTTGGGAGACTGAGGAAGAAGGAGGGTTGCTTGAGCCCAGAAATTCAAGGTTGCAGTGAGCTGTGATCTCACCTCTGCAATTCAGCCTGGGTGACAAAATGAGACCCTATTTCTAAAAAAAATAGTAATAGTAAGTAGAATCATGAATGAAAGTCAGTTAAGATCTGTAAACTAGATTTGTTGTAATCTTGACTTTTAAATGATTATTATTGTTGTTATTATTTTGAGACAGGGTCTCACTTTGTCACCCGCCTCCATCTGCCCACCTCGACCTCCCAAAGTGCTGGGATTACAGGTGTGAGCCACCTTGCCTGGCCATAACAATGAATTTTCAAGAAGTGACAAGACAAGAGAAAGCAGTTTTAGGCTTCCTGGGGTGGGAAACTGTGGGAAGGTAAATATATGGGAGAAAACGAATGGAGGAAGGTTTGTTTGTAGGCTCTTCTGGTGCCTCTGAGCTGATAAGCATTGTCTCCAGTAAAATAGAATTTATGTCCTATATTTAGGTATGCAAAAAGTCAAGACTGGGCCGGGCACGGTGGCTCCACTAAAAATACAAAATTAGCCGGGTGTGGTGGCACACACCTGTAGTCCCAGCTACTGGGGAGGCTGAGGCAGGAGAATTGCTTGGACCAGGGAGGTGGAGGTTGCAGTGAGCTGATATCACGCCACTGCACTCCAGCCTGGCAACAAAACAAAACCCCATCTCAAAAAAAAAAAAAAAAAAAAAAAGAAAATTTTTATTCGTTGTCGAAGGTACTGGATAAGCCAGAGCTCTGAGCCACTGCTTCAGGTTACCTTTCATTGAGGTTTCTTCCTCGCTATGTGCACTGCATGTGTTAATAAACTTGCTGGGTTTTCATGTGAATCTGCCTTTTGTAAAGTGGTATGTCCTAACTACAAACTTAAAGGGGCTGAGGAGGAGTTATATTTTCTCCCTGATACCCACAACAGCCCAGCAAGGTAAATCTTATCATCCCCAATTTACGGATGAGAAAACTGAGGCTCAGGAAGGTTGAGTCCTTTTTCAGGACCACACCATCTATAAATGTTTATAATAACTTCTTCCAGATCCTTGCTACTTCATCATGCCATGGGTCTCCTTAGTCCTCAGTCCTAACGAGTTTCAATTTCAGCCGGGCGAGGTGGCTCATGCGTGTAATCCCAGCATGTTGGGAGGCCAAGGTGGGTGGATCACCTGAAGCCAAGAGTCCCAGGACAGCCTGGCCAACATGGCAAAACCCCGTCTCTCCTAACATAATAGTAATAATAATATGGCCAGACATGGTGGCTCACACCTATAATCCCAGCACTTTGGGAGGCTGAGGTGGGTGGACCACAAGGTCAGGAGTTCGAGACCAGCCTGGCCATATTATTTTAGTAGTGACACCCCGTCTCTACTAAAAATACAAAAATTAGCCAGGCGTGGTGGCACATGCCCAGCTACTCAGGAGGCTGAGGCAGGAGAATTGCTTGAACCTGGGAGG